CTGGAAAGTGAGGGGAAGACACTGCGGTTAGTTCAGGCTCAGCGGGAAATTTTATTCTCGAACTTGAAGAGTAGAAATAGGTGCAGACTCACGTTTCCAGAAAAATGATTGACTCTTTGACTCCAGTCAGTGTGGGGGTGTTCCAGTGTTTATCTCATTAGATGGAGGGCAGACAGGGTTTACCCAGAATGCGGTTGTTTGTAGATAAACGGAGAAGTTGACTGCCACTCAGATTTCCTGCTGTACTTGAACGGGTTGTTGTGGAGATGAATCCCCTGCTCAGAGAGAAGCCCCAGACATTCCTTGGGGAAATGGGCTCTTCAGAATCACACCCTTGAATCCTCAGCTCAGCTTGATTCTCAGAAGATTCTTCCAGGGGAGAGAAGGTCCGAAACATCCAGTTTGCAGGATAACTTCCTGCCGAGAGGCAAAGACAAAACAAAGAGGTTAAAACTCAGGTGAGAAAAAACTCAGTTTGACTCAACAAAACTCAGCTTGGCTAGAGTACCCAAAACTGGCAAACACTCTGGCGTCAAGGTAGTGGCAGTCAGCAGCTTAAGAGCACTCCGTTAATGAGGTAACCCTCTGCAGGTGTGTGAGGAGGCGAACCAGGACCAGGCGCCGCCTGGTGGTGGAAGGAAGACAAACACACAAAACACACAAACCACACAGACAGGAGTCCTAACACATGTGACACGTGTGTTTCAGTGCCATGACCTGGATGACAGAGAATTGATTCTTTGATGTGCCTTGAGATGATGTGTGTTCTGGACTGGCTCTATATAAATAAACTGAATTGCACTAAATTAAATTCCTTTATCTGGATCTGGTTTATTCTGATAATGGGTTTTCTTTTAAGGATGCCTGAATATCAAAACGATCAAAGAAATCAATTCTGTAAGCAAATAGTGTCGACCTCGGAGATTTGTTACAGAACAGTAGCGAACAAACAGAATCATAAAACAAAGAAACACCGCAGACAGTTCAGAGAGAAAGTTGTGTAGAACCCTAAATCAGAGTTAGTTTAAAAAACAATATCTTAAGCTTTGATTGTCACAGGACGCACTGCATCCCCCAGCATCATGTCACCATCACATTAACTGCAGATATATGCAGCATTGTTGGTTATGTACTGTGTTAGTTGTTCCACCACATAGCATTTTACTTACTGTATCAACCTCAAAGTTTAGCTTTGGTGACATCTGATTACAAATCACCTGAGTCACATTTGCTCTCCCTCCTAATTGGTTGGGTCTACATTCTTAATCATTTAGGACCTACGCAGAGTTGCTGGATTTTTACTGTGATGAAAATGAGCACAGGTGAACACTGTTAGCCATAATCAGTAACTTGCAACTAAGCCATAGGTTATTATAGGGGTGTCAGTGTTAAGGTGGCTGAATCCTTATGGAAATTGCACATTTTAGATAAAAAATTAAGAGGTATGCATAATTTTCCATGCACTATCAACTAGGCATTTATTTGTCTAGGTCTACCATCTAAATCATAGATAAACCTCCTTAAATTGTTATAATCTGATTTTAAAAAATGGAAAAGGGCATTAATATATTTGACGGGCACACTGGGGCAGACTTTATCATTTATGTCTTTGAGAGTTTATAGCTGTTGCTCCTTTTGCAAAGATGCTGTGTCACTTCTCTGTCCAGACACTCTCCTCCTCCCACCACAGATGACTGATGATCCTGTTGATTGATGAGTTATTACGTGTGACAATTTTGTTGAAAGTGGATATAGAAATAGGTGATAGGCCAGGGAATAATCCAAATCCCATCCCTTCCTCTCCCCTGGATGGGGCCACATCAATTGTTTCCATGAAGGAAGCAAGGTGTTGGGAATGCCGGGGTACAGGATGGATGGCTGACCTGTAAGGAGGGCGGTGAGCTATTTCTTTAAAGGTTTGTGTCCCCACCTCCGTCGGAAGTAAATGGAACCGACAGCTGAGAGTTTTTCCAGAGGATGGGAAAGCTGGAGGCTGAAGTCACTGCTCAATTCTTTTAAAGAAAAAAAAATGTATACGTTTTTGAGGAGTGCAAAAGCTCATTTCTAACTCAACACCTTTCAAAGGGAAATTGAAAAACGATTGTCAGTCAAGCAATAAAGAACAATGATATAATCTGGAGGTTGAGATAATGTGAGGGCGGAAATAAGAGCAGAGGCAATGATATGTCAGCCTTCTCTAGCTTTCATTTCCTATGAATTTCCAGCATACTTTAGTAAAATTGTCATGAAAACTCAGTGTTTTTAACGATTCATTCAATAGTCTTCAGAGATTCGCACTAGAATCAGGAAAAGCTTGTTTGCTAGGTATCGTTTTGCACATACTACAGTATGAAATTGATTTGGTGAGGAGGTACATAAACATAGACAAATATCCAGCTGACTTAAATACATTTGAAAATATATAACTTTTATAAAAATGTAATTGAGAAAAATAGTGCAAAGCAGAGGAAAAATAATATTGCAAATATTCTAAATGTAAAACAACATGAAATTAAAATAAATTGTACTCACTTTATTTATGAGAGTGGCGAATTAATGGATGAAAATTGGACTAATTATTCAAGGTCAGATGAAGAAGGGGAACCCTTAGCGCCTGAAAATATGTTAAAATGTTCTGGGTAGTTTGATTGTGTAGTCCACGTGTTTTATAAATCTGGAGGAATCACTGCTCTTTGGGATAGAAAAAAATAGCAGAATGAGCCTTTGACACTTCCCTTAAGAGGTTTTTCAGATTTTTCTCACGGAGATTGAAAACTCTGGACCTGTTACCGCTGTTACTAGATCTCAGGATAGATGAATGGAATGGATGGATTGCCTTTGAGTCCCATTGTCGCACACATCTTAGATACAGCATGTATAATGTCAGTAAATTTAAAAGAAATGCCAACCAAAAAACTTCTGCAAAACTTAATGACTTGAAGGGAGAAAAAATATTTAATTATCTGAATTAGTTATGCCAGAACCTTAAACCACATTCACAAAACCTCAGACTCTTCCTGCAAAACCAAACTATTGCTCAAAAACCCTTTAAATAGGGTTCAAAACCCAACAATGGTGTCAAATTAGACGCCTATTCAATCAGTTTTTTTAACAGTTTTTAACAGTTTTTTTAACATCATTGTACAGTCATTATATTAATAATAAATCATTTTAATTGTCATCCTGAAACCATGAAGACATTTGAGTTTTAATAAATAAATTTGATAACTAAATATTTTCTCCAATCTTGATGGAATGACTAATGTAATGGTATAAAGCATAGAGAAAAGAAAACAGATTAATAAGATAATTAACCCTTTAAACATAACTAAGAAAGATTTTTTATAAAACTCCTTTGCTATAGCAAATAAAACAAACAAACAACAAACCAACCATGGTTTGTGTTTGTTGTTTTTTTAGTTATATAGTATCTAATAAATAGCATTAAGTCATCATGCTGGATCAGCACACAGGATCTCATCTACATCACAGGCCATATTCCCCCTCACCAGGAAGCATGGGAAGGACCTTTTGATATGCAGAATCCATGCTTGGCAATCCTCCACCATTATGTCATCTCAGGCCTCCCAGAGATTTCCCCTGTTGTAGGGTTACAGATCATAAACCTTCCACTGCCATGAAGACGAGAACTCCTCTGTTGAGTGTGGAAAGGGGAGAATGGTGGAAGGAAAATACTAATAAATTCTAAGTTGTTATTTAACCACAGTCTGACATGGATGGCAAAGCCAAAACTCACATTGTCCTACACAGCGATTGAGACAGGAGGCCTTGTCTGCTCATGACTCTCCTGTTGAAGTTTTAATATTTGAAAGATAACTTTAAAATATCAGTGGTTGCTGAGTGTTGTTGCCCCAGTGTGGCATGATGCTGGGGTAACTCCAGAATATCGTCCCATTGCCACCTGGCGTGACACGTAACAATGCAAATCAAAATGGCAAATCAAAATCCAGCCTCTCCTGCTCCTTGTGGTCAGATGAACCCACCTTCATCCATATTCATGAGGTCATTTTATGTAGAAAATAAATATAGATTGTAAGTGGACATATGCTGTGAAGAAAACTGCAGCCTGGGACACCTACCTGGATTTACTTGAATCTTTGCTTGCTGACTCAATCCGAGGTGCGGTCAAAGGGTAATCTGTACAATTGCTTCATCCAGAATGAGTTGCATTTTAGAACATAATCAATGGTGGAAATGCTGACACTGCTGATGCCTTTAAAATTCACATGGTTTTCAAGGATTTTCTGCTGTATTTGACACAGTTTTATGAAACGGTTTTGAAAAACAAGGACAACAGTTAAGAGAGCATAAATGTTGCTCCTTTTCTGTCTCTGTGATTGTATATTTCCATAATGAAACTTCAATGACTAATGCTTCTTGTACTGGTCTATACTGGTTTGTGCATAAGGTTTTTTCAAATAAAATAGGTTTATCATTAGATACAGACAACAAGGATCAGAAACCAAAATGTTTGAAGGTCAAAGCAGCACGTCTGAATCATTAATGAGGTCAATGATCTACAAGCAATGTAACAAATTTCTGATTTAATTTTATTATTCTGTGATTATTAAAATTCTTTAAAAACCTTTGAATTTCCTGAGCCTAAGTGTGTCTCTGTGTGCCTGTGTCTCACTGCAGGGGGACAGTCAGTCCATCTGAGGATGAATGAGGTCTTTGGCTGAATTTTGTGTGTGTGTGTGTGTGTGTGTGTGTGTGTTTGTACAAGACTGGACTAGAAGAGGGAGTGGAGGGGAAAAGGAAGGAGGAGCTGAGGGACGTGGGTGAGTGATTCTCCAGATGAGATCTAATATGAGAGACCATGCATCCTAAAGAGACGTTTTCTCATGGGCTTACCTCATGAATACAAATTCATCCCCACCCGCCTGCTCTGCTCGGGAAGGACGGATGCACCTTGCTTATGCCCATCATGAAGAAGAGCAGCAGTCCTGTTTTTTCTTTTTTTTTCTTTTTTTGTAACTTTGATCCAATCAAATCCCTTTACTGTGGTGACTTCATGGCAGCTCTCATGAGTCATCCATTCATACTTCTGTTTAGTAACTGAGTCTCCTCGCTCTGATTGTCACGGGTATTTATAATGACGGAGGGACGGTCTGCGAGCATGCTGGCTGAAAAAGTCAAATATTGCCAATGAAACCCAGCAGGTGAGTTTGTTAAAGGAGGGACACTTGGTGTGTTTGTGTGTGCTGACCCCCAGGGTTATCTTGACCAGTTAGTGTGCAGGTTAAATCAGTGTGTTTTGCTTCATTTTAAAGTGCGTGAGTTGGAAGATTTGTTTGAAAAAGAGTCATTAGGACCCCAATTTAGTTGAAGATTTGACTCTCAACAAAAATAAGACTTAAACTAATTGTAGAGCACAAGGGAAAAAAGTTTGTGGGTGTGTAGAGGTGTGTGTGTGTGTGTTGGCGAGAGAGATAGAAAGAGAGGGAGGAAAGGGGGAGGAGATACAAAAGGAAGGAACAGAGTGGAGAGGAAAGAAATGAGACACAGTGAGGACGTTTAGAAACAAGGGAGTTATTGCTGGTGATACAACTAAAGACACACATACCTCGTTTTTTTTTTTTTTTTTTCCTCTCTTGTCACAATCAGCTACTTTTTAGAAAAGCGCTAGAAGTGCTAGGGAATAACAAAGGGTGGTGGTTACCAGCAAAGATCAGGCAGGTAAAGAGAGAGAAGCCGGTTGATGTTTTTAGAGGTTTGCTTATCTTGCAGTAAGAACAGGATGAGAATCTGAGCGGGGAAAGCAAAACATGGAGCTAGCAGAGATACCTATAGGGACATTAAACACTTAGTCTGCTTGTTCTCAGAGGGGCAGACAGAGACAGAGTAATTAGTCCACTCTGACTTTTTCCGTCCAAAGGAGCGAGAGCACGAGGCAAGGGATCGTAACACTGGAGCTCAAGGATATACCATGGACTCTGCATACATCCCACCACACCTGGACGTGAGTACTCCATCCTTACATTCGCACACATCAATCCGTCATGCAACAGGCCACAGGAACAGCACTGCTGAAACCATTAGCTACTCAGGGGAAAACACACACTCATGCAAACCCTCCCCTCAGCCTCTTTTTTAACTCAATCAAAATCTTATCCTGGTAAGCACCCTATAAGAGAATAAAACATCCATTATGAGTTCAAAGACTCTAACTCGCCACAGCTTCAGCATGCACAGCATGAACTGGCCCTCAGTGTTAACACTCATCAGATTTAATGCAAAAAGCAGAGCTCTCTTTTTTTGTTCTGTGATCCACATTGCTTTAGCTGTCAGACGCATAACGAGAGCAGTCTCTGAGCTTTCAGCGGCTGTGGGTTGGACATGTCAGTGTTTCCACTGATGTTGGTGAAGCGCTGCGCCTCAACAGGTTCCTCCTTTAAACCACAAAGCACTGATGGCGCTGAGTCCTCCAAGCATCCCAGACCAAGGAGATGAGCCACATGAGGATGGAACTTATAAATGTATTTAATTGCATGCAAAGTGTTGTATTATTGTTACCTGTTTAGTCAGGTGGAGTAAGGGATCTCCAGATCCCTCCGGCTGTCAGTTTTGTTTGTCCATTTAAAAATAGTTAGGTGTGCTTGTGCTACTGCCTCTCACTGCTGGGGTTTCTTAAAGACATGCTCCACTTACAGCACATGCATGTATTCAATAAAACCTTATGATTTGAAAACATACATTTTATTTTACGAAAATACTTTGTAGTAACCAACATTCTGCAGTCATTAATTATTCATACCAGGATTAACGGGAAAATCATGTCATATGTGGACCGTTTGCTGTAAGAAATGGCTTTCTCTATCAATACTTAGAGCAGTTAGAATGGCTAGAATTACCAAAATGACAGAATGTATTCTGTGATTATTTTAAAAATTTCCAAAATTACCTCCAACATTTCCAGATCCCGCATTTTCCATGGCAGGTGGAACATACAAAAAAAGATAATAACAAAACAACATTGTCATAATTTATTTAGACTGACTAATATACACTGGGAGTCTTACTCTCTTCCATTTCCTAACAGCTTTAAAGAACTGCAGAAATGCCTCAGAATACTGTAGAAAATACAAAAAATGTTGTACACTGTGCAACTTTGTCACTGTTTTAAGCACTTTTGTACATGACTCTGGAAAGTTTTTTTTTATCTGTTTTCTTAGGTGACAAACGACTTGTATAAATGTTGGTGAAGAACAGAGAAAAATTAGACCCCTTCTTAATGAGAACTGCTCACCATCGGCGTCGCCAGACCCCATTTACTGGGGCACGTGCCCCAGTATAAATGAGCTGTGCCCCAGTATAAATCTCATGAATATTTGCAACAGTGATACATTTTTTTAATGCATCAATTTAGATAATTCCAACGGGAGGAGACGTACACTATATTGCCAAAAGTATTTGCTCACCTGCCTTGACTCACATATGAGCTTAAGTGACATCCCGTTCCTAATCCATAGGGTTCAATATGACGTCGGTCCACCCTTTGCAGCTAGAACAGCTTCAACTCTTCTGGGAAGGCTGTCCACAAGGTTTAGGAGTGTGTTTATGGGAATTTTTGACCATTCTTCCAGAAGCGCATTTGTGAGGTCGCACACTGATGTTGGACGAGAAGGCCTGGCTCTCAGTCTCCGCTCTAATTCATCCCAAAGGTGTTCTATCGGGTTGAGGTCAGGACTCTGTGCAGGCCAGTCAAGTTCATCCACACCAGACTCTGTCATCCATGTCTTTATGGACCTTGCTTTGTGCACTGGTGCACAGTCATGTTGGAAGAGGAAGGGGCCAGCTCCAAACTGTTCCCACAAAGTTGGGAGCATGGAATTGTCCAAAATGTCTTGGTATGCTGAAGCATTCAGAGTTCCTTTCACTGGAACTAAGGGGCCAAGCCCAGCTCTTGAAAAACAACCCCACACCATAATCCCCCCTCCAACAAACTTTACACTTGGCACAATGCAGTCAGACAAGTACCGTTCTCCTGGCAACCGCCAAACCCAGACCCGTCCATCAGATTGCCAGATGGAGAAGCGCGATTCGTCACTCCAGAGAACGCGTCTCCACTGCTCTAGAGTCCAGTGGCGGCGTGCTTTACACCACCGCATCCGACGCTTTGCATTGCACTTGGTGATGTATGGCTTGGATGCAGCTGCTCGACCATGGAAACCCATTCCATGAAGCTCTCTGCGCACTGTTCTTGAGCTAATCTGAAGGCCACATGAAGTTTGGAGGTCTGTAGTGATTGACTCTGCAGAAAGTTGGCGACCTCTTCGCACTATGCGCGTCAGCATCCGCTGACCCCGCTCCGTCAGTTTACGTGGCCTACCACTTCGTGGCTGAGTTGCTGTCGTTCCCAAACACTTCCATTTTCTTATAATACAGCTGACAGTTGACTGTGGAATATTTAGGAGCGAGGAAATTTCACGACTGGATTTGTTGCACAGGTGGCATCCTATCACAGTTCCACGCTGGAATTCACTGAGCTCCTGAGAGCGACCCATTCTTTCACAAATGTTTGTAAAAACAGTCTGCATGCCTAGGTGCTTGAATTTATACACCTGTGGCCATGGAAGTGATTGGAACACCTGATTCCAATAATTTGGATGGGTGAGCAAATACTTTTGGCAATATAGTGTATATTTCTACTCAAATGCGCAGCAAGTGTGTCGTTAACTCCAAATTGAGGATGTATTAGCGCCCCCACGTCAGCGCATGTCACTGCATGAACTGCAGGTAAACTAACGCGCAGCTCTCAACTGTTTTGGATGGGACACTGTGCGGCCGCGACGCATTTTTAGTTCTGGTAACGTTTCTTACCTGTCAATTTTATTATTTTCCCAGTGAAACCACATGATTTATAGGCTACTAACTGAAAATTACTGCATTGGTTTGTAGATGGATATCAGGAAATTCCTCACACGAAGCAGAGACAGGGAAGCAGTAACACAAGATGAGAGAGGGAGGTAAGGTCCCGTGATGAATTAGTGATTTAAGCTAACTAGTTACATTAGCAACGTTATAAGCAATATGATAGATATTTGCATAATAATAAATTTACGTTTTTTAATGTTTGCTGTAGAGAATGAGAATGAAGGTGCTGGAGTAGGAAAGGGAGGATGAGGCGAGACTGACAGGCAAGAGACAGGTGAGAGACAGGAGAGACAGGTGAAGGACAGGAGAGACAGGACCATGAAGGTGATGAGGGAGCAACAACCAGCTTCCACAAACAAGAAGGGGACATTAGTGACTTAGGGGGAAAGCATGATGGTCCTAGACAAGTGAAGTTGTCCCACTATCCCCAGCACAAATTTGGAGTAAAAAAAACGTTAATTTAATTCAAAATGGTTTGAAAGCTTTTCCTGGTTGAAAAGAAAGCCTTGTCATCAAGGATATGCAGTGTGTTTTCAACTTGCTTGATAACACCATGTTCCCCACACTAATGCAGGTCATCTAGACCTCCCTCACAATCACAATTAACAGATGGAGTTGTGAAAGGTCATTCAGTGTGTTGAGAAGGCTCCACACTTGGCCGAGGTGCACAATGGGACAAGATAGGCTCCATCATCTTGCTATTTTATCAGTTGAAAAGGAAGAACTTTCTAAGCTGAGTCACAGTCTAGTGATTGACCGCTTTGCAAAAATGAAAAATAGGAGGTACACTTTAATGCTCAAAAAATAAAAGAAAAACTTAGTTTGGGTTGAGTTAATCTTTCCCCTGAACTAAAACCCTGAAACCTAGGAATTAATGATTACTTCAGAATGTGTATAAGGAAACTTTTTATTTGTCAAAGTTGGTGATGTCTTATTTTTTATAGCTGCAATGTTGAAAATGTTCATGTTTGTTAAAACAAATATGCTCTTACACTCATTAATATCTCAACTGGTAATTTTGGTAGGAATGTATCAGGGTGGGGCAGTGTGCTTGTCTGTATTTATGTATGGAAGGAGGGGCATATGCACTAGGGGGCCAGTGCCCCAGTAAAGCTTTGTGCCTAGCAACGCCCCTGCTGCTCACTGTAACTGACCCCCTCCTGTCTCTGATCACTCAAAGAGACCAAGTCCTTTTATTGCACAGCAGCCCCTCCTAGTGGGTTCATGTCCCATCCCTAGGTAACTATAGCAGCCCATGGTTGCCATAGTTACATCTGGGGCAGGATGTAAATATGAAACATCATTTGGACATGATAAATCACTGCATTTATTTATATATTTTTTCTCTCAATCAAGACTGGTAATGCAGATTCTACTTAAGAAAATATGATCAAGTGAAACACAAATTTAAAAACCAAACCAATCTCAATAAGCCTAATTAAAAAATACTGAATATGTTTTGAAAAAACGCTAACAAACTTCTTTTGTAGTTCTTAACATGTTTATTTTTTCTTTATTGTACTGCTTTTACAGCCTATCCTCTATACTATGGCATTCATTTCAAAGACAGTTATACAAATTGGGGAATGACTCTATTAACCATCTTCCAGGAATAACATAGGAGATGGTTTCATTTTAAATAAATTCAGTCCTTCTGACTATATGTTCAAACCCTGCGCTCATTATGGAAATAGCAAGCTTTGACTTTTCTTCATTCAGTAACATCATCCACAGTGAAGAGTCTTGCTAAAAAATCACCTAAATATGTCAGCTGGTTACCTATGTGAAGCTTTTGCTTCAAATAAATTATAGCATGCCGTTCCCACATATAGAAAATAAAGCTGCTTTGGATAAGTAGAAGTTAAGAAAACATATGCTTGTACATATTTTGGCACATGAGGATGTTTGATCCAGTATTTACTTGACAATTAACTCAGAGACAGAATGAACCCAGTGGCGTGTTCGCAGTACTTATCAAGTTTAGAAAGAATAGGACGGATTCACTGAACAATGAGAGTGGAGGAGAGGGGAGCTGGGACTAAATCAGAGAGAGTGAAAGAAGGAATTCGGGAAAAGAAACACGGG